TAAAGATTACCTCGAAGGGTTCTCCATAAGATACGCTCGAATGCTGCAATACGATCCCGGGGAATGACACCGGACACGAACCCAATATTCATACCAGAAAACGACCGCTCGGCGTCCCCATTTTGGTGCGATTGTTCTATGTCTTGTAGGAGAGGAGCATCGTCGTTGTCGGTGGAAGCTCTAATTTCATCCACATTTCCGTGAGCTCGATCGAAGAAAGACCCAGCCTCTCTTAAAACCCATCTCCATTCAGTAAGCTCTACCTCCCTCTTTTTCAAAGTTTCATAGCTGTCATTCAATGATGCAATTCGTTGCTCTAGGCTCTGGCTGCGATCGGAAAGCTCGTCGATTTCGGTGGCGGAAGGAGCGGCTAGAGTTTCGATATCAAGGTCTAGCTTTCTAAGAGGGATTCCTGCTTTATCCATTTGGGTGTGAAAGTATCCTAATTTTCAATTAGTATCGATGAAACAAGAGATGGAGGTTGGCACATACGAAGCTGTCTTTCAACATTATCGAGTCGTCTTATCTCCTGAGTGAAAGTCCGTTGAAAAGCAGTGACGTCGGAGTTGAGCTGCGAAATCCATTAGTATTTCATCATAATCTGATAAAATTGAGACATACATCTCGAAACTGTATTTGCCCGAGCTCTCCCAATGCGTTTACAATCTCGCGTCCAATTTCGTTGGCGATGTAGAGTTGGACCAAACTCATGTCCGCCGAGCGGAACATGGTGTCCTGCGACGGTGCCATAATGAGAAGCTTGGGAGTGATCCCTAGATTCTGTTTTGGCAATTATGTGAAGCTTCCCAAGCAAGTTGAGGTAGGTTTGTAGGATTGATTTTGAGGTTGTAAAATGTTGGAAGATGCAAGCACATCGTTACCGATATTAAGCTTCGATACCTAGCGCCCGACAATGTCCTGAGCTAGTCTATCACGTGATAATACACAGCCATTTCAATTCGCAATCCAACATATGGATTCTCTAACCTTTTCATGATCTCTCGATACTCGATACAACTATATAATACCTACTTGAGATTCCTTTTGCAAGAAATGGCAAATTCCCCGGGTTTATAAACATCAACAAAGTCGTTTTGTTTTAAACAAACGAGACAATTCTTTCTATGCCATAATCTCTCCTGTTGTTATTACCGTTCTTGTCATAATCGTCATTATCTACGTATGTATATCTTAACCCTGCACCCATTTTCTAAAAGGCTCAAATTGTACCTGCGTGCAAGCAAAGAAAACCATACGAGAATTCGATCAACGGTGGATGAACCACAGAGCAATGGTACAGAATTTACGAGCGATCAGAGCACCGATGACTGTTGTGTATTTGTGACCAAGTAATCAATAATTTGCCGTAGAATAGGGATACGCCAAAACTACCAGTGTTATGACAAGCAAGGTATTCACGTTGACAAAGCAATCTTGTTGGTTGCAGATAGTCCTGTAAATTGCATGGTCAGTTCGAAGATCGACGGCATATTGCTTCTGTGTACGGATCCAATAGTGCCATGTTTGTCAAGCATTCAATCATTATTGAGCATTGGCGATGGTATCCCAGAGCCATTTTTTGAAATGCATCAGTAATTCGGGCATCGTTTCCTTTTCTCAGTAGACTTTCAGGCGGTTTCTGGAGCCTACCTACCTTATGGCAGTGATTGATGCAATGCTCATTGCCAAAACCAAGGCTTCAGATGCACACATAAAGTATCCCCATCCCTCGTTGTTGTCGTGGGTATAGATTCCACTCGCTGAGTAATTCCATCTTGCTGGGGCCGACGTAAAAGCTAGAAGGGCAATCGGGAGTAATTCGAAGCTGGAGTTGCTGAAGACTGGGTACACATTGAGTCCCATGGTAAGAAACCAGCCACAGCTTGACCTAAGTCCCGAATGTTGTAGGCATGACATGACATGACATACCCAAGACTCATTGCTTCTTGCTGGGAAGGGGGGTGATTTAATATCAAGAATGAGAGTTCCTCCACTGCCAAAGAGTTCCATGAGGCCATGAGAGTAATGCGCGTGATGCGATGCACGCTCGTGCACAGATGAAAAGCAAAGCGTTTCAAGCAAATCGCAGACCACAGATATTTGCAGTCAGGCCCTAGTATAGAGGCTCTTGTAAGCATACATCGTACTAACATACACTGCACTGCACTGCATTGTCAACGCGCAGGAGTATGCAGGACTAAAGTTGTAGGCGGCATGCACAGCAATGGACTGCAAAAGGTAAGAGCAAATAATCGACAGTATGGCTGAATATCAGATAGCCTCTCGTGGTGACTGTGATTCTCTCACCTACAAACCCAAAAGTTCTTGAGTTTGTGTTGTTGTCGAACTTTAAGTAGGTGTATGGTAGCACGGTAGCAGATACTGTAGTTATGGTTCGACTTGGAGTAGACGTGATCAACTCCAAATTCTTAAAATAGCAGCATTCGGTGCCAGATGCGAAAGCTTTTAAACATTTTCAAGAACGACGATAGGTAGTAATAAAGCTCTTGCTTGTCTTTGATTTCGTGGTTGTTTTATATACTTCCTCCGTTCGTACATAATAAGTAATATATATGTATGTACTTGCAGCTAAAATAAGAAGAGGAACTGGTGAACTCGCTAATCTCAGTACCTGCCTCGAGCATACAAAAGCATACAAAGGCTCGGCAGGTACGTACGAGCGTACTTTGTCCTTGTCCATGTCCCTTAATAACGAATAACGGCCCACTTCCAATTTCCAATTTCCCTTTCATCGCAATTTTATCAATACAACTGTTGTAACTGTAATCTTATTACATTCAAACATTCAACATCATCATTCAGTCTTACCTCCAAATTACATATCAACAAGCTGCTTACCTTTCAAGATCGATATTGTTCATTCGTCGCATCTCACAAGCGTTCCCTTTTCTTGCAAGGAGGACAGTATTCATTACACCATACATGATCGCTCCATACATATAGTTGCATAGCATACTTACGGTGGATAAGCCCCTCTTCTGTCAAGACCTGCAGGGAGCTTAATGCCCAAACAGACAATGTCGTCAATATGAAGCTGGATTTTCTAAAGCTGGGTACTTGGAAGCCGGGTACTTGGACGCTGGGCTCTGTCGCCTATGTTTCGACTTTCGTCATCCTCTACGGTGTGATTGGAGGTCTACTCTTCGTTACTCCTCTCGATACCGTCGTCCAAGCCAGAGCGAATCATCAATTGTACAATGGCTTTGTAATCCTTATATGCTATGGTGTCACTCTAGTTTCGGCCGTCGTGCTCTTTGCGACGCGGATCTACACAAACAAGGAAATCATAAAAGCGATACCGAAAACATGGATACCGATCGAAGAAGGCGACGTCGAGAAAAAAGTTCGAAAAATGATTGTGGCGAGCCTGGCGAGAAGTGCTACACTAGCATGGGATTCACGACCACGAATAGATCAGCATGCGACTACACTAGTATCGACGCAAGACACACTAGGTGAAGCGACAATCGCTGCTGAGAATAGTCGCTCTGCGAGGGAAATGGACGAGAAAGGGTCTCATCGATCTACAACTGGTATATCTACAAAAGAACCCGTTTGGGGTCAAATTTCCCATGATGGATGGTCTTCTCCAACCGCCGCGGTTCTGCCAAATTTACAGTACATCACTGTAATTCTCGAGTTACCTCATTTGATCGAAGCAAAGGCCGTATCTTTAGCACCCCCTGACCCACGATCGACGTCTCGGCCGCCCATGCCTGATCTCAGAGCAGTGGATGTCCTTCGACGACCTGCGGCGATGTGTTTGCGCGACTACATCGGTCACCTATCTGGATTTGGCGTTGTCAACGATTCCTCGATCGCCACATCTTTTCTGACAGCCTACGAGTACGCTCGATTTTCCTCCAACGCCATCAGCGAAGTCGAATTTCGCGATCTGATGAAATATTTCGCAGAACTTCTTCGCGGTATGGAACCACTCAGTCCTGCGATAATGTTGAGTCTAGCTATCGATGACCAGGACAGCGATATTGACGGCGATGCGTCATCTAGTCCCACTCCCATCACGCCACAAAGTCGTTCCCTCGCATCATCCTCGAGGAGTGTTAGTATACGTAGTGGCAGTGAAGGAACCATCCGAACAGCACGTTCTCATAGACTTGGTACGGATCATACAACGCCGAATCGGTCACATGCTGGTACAGCTTTTGTTGCTCCCCGAAGCATAAGGCCTAAACTACCTGGATCGCAAAGACGGACCAGGGGCTTTTATACTAGTAGCAGCTCAAGTTCTAGTTCTAGTATGAGATCTATAAGCCAAACAAGTGTGATCAAGCTGAGCAAAGTTCAGACTGGAGAGTCATTGCCTTATGAGTTAAATATACCCCGGGTGCGCTGATATATCGGTCGCCTTTTCCTTATATTTTTTGAATCGTTATTAGCGTTGGAGTACGGGCTGGAACAAATGGTCTACAACAGGCATGGGAAACGTCTAGATATATTCCTCTAATCTTCAATGATAATGTACAATTACTGAATCACTCCATGCGAACTCTCCAATTTGTCTCCGCCTATTTCAACGTCTTCCTCCATCTGACCCTCACAGTAAAAAGCCTGTCATTTCTCCCGCATAGAAGCTAGATCCTCGTGGGATATGGAGAGGATATCCTGAGCACTCCCACTACTCATCTCCGATTTCGATCAGAAGACTTTTGAGCAGTTGGCGATTAAATACAGAACAACATTGTCGGAGTTGCAAATGATTGGTTGATGTACCGCGCGCCCGCTGAATCACCGAGTATGAGTTTAGTCGAATCTATTTTCAAATGTATCTCAGCCTCAAAAGCACACCAGCAATTATTATCTTCTGTCGATCTGGCTTCAGGTGCTGGTCGTGTTTAGATAATCCGCAGCTTTGGTGCTCAACGGCCTTGCATTGCGCCTGCATGATGAAGCTTACAAACAAAGCCACTTTAATGTGAAATCAAACAGGACATTTCTATTGGAGGAGAAGCTTCGCTATGGAGGCAGAAGGACAATGTTGTGCTGCCTTGGGAACACGTGGGGTTAGGGGTATTTCTTGTTCCCCGCGAAAGTTCGTGCCAGCTGAAGGCAGTAATCCCGGATCCGTGGAGGCAACCCCCCGATGTCCCGAGTCAGCCTTATTGCTAACCATAGCTGTATGCACAATTGATGATATGGAGAGACCAGAAGCTATCACTCGTTGGGTGTTCTTGGCCGACGTTTCATGTGGGTGGTAATCGTATTGCTTGGGGTAATGAAGGGGTAAAACGTGGTGCAGTCGCAGTCGTATTCGATGATCTTCTGCAACCATGAAAGAAACATGGCAGCCATGTGGATTGAAAGTATTATTGTATATCCGAACACACTAAACAAGTTTCAACCAGTTTCCGATAGGCTGCTAATTCGGCCCTTCTTCTAAATCCATCAGCGCCGTTAACTTTCCAGGGGTCATAACATACATTCATCCCAACTTTCTACGCCTCTTTCCCGCGCCTGCATTTTAGTGCCATGCCGGATTTATTGAGAGACGTGGCTCCAGGTATCATCGTAGCGTTCGAGATACTGTCTCATGTCGGCTTTATGGGCATCCATACTTTTCTTTGCTGACCAATGTTCGTATCCCGGGTTAGGATTTATAGGGTCTGCGGCGTATCTTGACGCTCTTTCAGACGAGTAATATCCTTCATCAATGGTTTGCGAGGGGGGAGTGTCTTGTGTTTCGTGGTCAGGCGAACTGGATTTCGTTCTCGATTGCGATTTCACTTTCTCCTTAGAGGTCTTGGAATGAGAGCTGCGTTGAGAAATGAAGTTTGTTAGTGAGTAGCTCTCCTGTTATTTGGTTCAACTAATTTGAGGGAACGAACCTTTTGACAGATGGATGGTTGGTTATGATAGACCAAGTATCGGAGTGAGCCATTGTACTGGGTGGAAGGCTTAACAGAGCTTATGGGTTCAAGCACGTGAATAAAGACAGGACTTTAATAGTCGAAGCGTTTGTGTATTCTTCAAGACTGGTTGTGAATCAAGTATGGATGGCAAGAAAAAGTATCTCAATGAAGTGGGAAACGATCAGAATTTATGCACTCCAGAGCCTCATAGCAAGAACAAATTAACACCTTTCATGGGTTGCAAAAACTCCATACAACCAGACCAGACTGAGTCGTGTATCGAATATCTGTAAGCAAAAACAAGATTGTTGGTATCTCACGCACAAGAACTCATTTTGAACCCCAAGTTAAGCATGCATGGTAGATTGATGATGAAACCAGTACTGAGGTCAAGGATTATTATGGGGTCGGATTGTTAAACAGCCCTCAAGTGAGTGGTGGAGAGTCGAAGTAATGAACCCTTTTACTCAAATCGACCATTGAAGGTTCCTCGCATCAACAGCCAGGGTCTAAATAGAGACCGGGGATTGAAAAGTCCCCTGACCTTGACATTACTTGCAGTAGTAGTCTCCGAGAACAGCTTCCAGAAAGCTTCAGAAGATTCAGCGCTCACCAGATCCTTTCGGAAACGACTTCCTACTTCGGTATTGCGAAAGGTGGTCTTCCAATGTTCTTTACACGGGTCAGATCTTCGAATGTATTGACGCATATCGTTCAACCAATCATCTCATGAAACAACCCTGCTATATGAATGGCGTATCTATCGATCCGTGCTACTATGGCGTCTCTACCGATGTATGTCAGGTACCGCAGTTTCTAGAAGCCTTCCACGCTTTATGTCTGGATGCATCGCCCACTAGGACACACATCATCAAATTCTCTTTAATGAATCTCCTTGCCAGAGGATAGAAATTCGATTAATGAACCATTGCAATATTCGGCTTGGTTGGTTTTTCCATACACATTGGGATTGACTTCTACAACGATGCCGAGTTCACTTCTTTTTGGGAAAGGCCGAAATTTGCCAACTTTTCGAGTATCAACACCAAGTCTATACGAACTCTGCATCATCAAAGGATACCAACTGCAGCACCCAACCCTGGCCATCAAGCGTCCTCAAATCGTACGTACCTACAGCAAACGAAAGCCGACTCCTACATGTGCATGTGCATGTGCATAGATAAGCGACTGGGGTAGTGTTCTTTTTATTCAATTGACAATCGCAATCCCTACAAGGTAGGTAGCTTCCATGCCAAAATGTTGATGCGCTATTTTGACACCTTTGACGTAGGTCGTTAGCAGTCAACTGATGGGTAAGTTACCCAGTGTAACTTTCATCCCTGTTGGTGTTCGCATTGCTTGCTACCTATCCATTTTTGGTAGGCAGACATGGGTAATGCATATATTGTTTGAGCATTCAGTCGTGATTTTCTATTCACCTGACGGCTAAGATAAGCTAGTCTACGTGTGTTGGCATGGCTGTATCTTCATTTACACGTACCTCCTGGTCCCTAACGGCTACTCTTTGTTACTGGTCTTGACATTTCAGGTCGCCATCCGAGTGGTTTGAATACTCCTATGTTCATAACATATATGAAATTATAGAAGATTTAGGCTTTGTCAACTCAACTCTGCTCAAGAAAGGGGAGTTAAGATAACCTTGCAAGGGAAATGAATCACGCAGAATACACAACTACTTTTTAGACTTCATGATTTCAGCACCAGGTAACTTCTGAGATTAGTTCAATGGCTATTCATCGTCTTGAACATTCATACAGCTTTCTCCAGGGAATGTCATCCAAATCAAGTAATTGATCTGGCTACCTTTCCCAACGACTCGACAACCTAGGATTGGCATGGATTACAGCCTAACATCGCGCAACGTTTAAGCCTGATGATCCTTCAAGTAATGGGCGACTTTACTTGTAGATCTCCCAAGAATACAAGGCCTTCCAGAAATATAACGACTCGTCACATTACTCCTTAGCCATGCGACTCCCTCATGCTGTACCACGGCAATATCTCCGCCAGAATGAGGCTCTCATGCACGATTACAGAGCAAAGCAATTTAAATTCATCCATTCATCTATTCACAACGCCAACGCCAGCGATTCATAAACCCCTCAATATTGACGGCATCCCCGAGTCTAACCTTCGTTGCCAAGATAGTTCGGTTGCCTTGCCGGTTCTTCCATGAGCCTCGGGTTCGAACTCGGTTTCTTGTTTTACGACTTCCCGATTCAATCTACTCTCTACTCGCATCCATAATTTTCAGCTACTATCAATCATCGCATATATCCTCCCAGACTCAACAATCACACCTTAAAATATCCTTCATCGTAGATATCAAAAATGATCCCTCCTCCACAAGACAAGCCATGTCCTTCACCAATCCACAGCAAACCCCAAACCTCGATTCCAAACCCCAAGCAAACAGATAGATGTACATCAGCGATATCCTCATGCGAATAGGAAATTACCAACTACAGTTAGTATCCGAGGTGGAAATTACATACACGTTTCAGCCTTGCAGGTAGCGACGAACTCTGCTGTATCGTGCATATCATATACATGTCAGGTACACATACATACTTCATACTGCATATTGCATACCTATTGCATACACATCCCCTTCCTCACCTTCTCGAATAATTTTGGAACATTCAGTAATCGGATCGCTTGGAAATACATAGGTACTACATACAGTAGCTTTCATCCAACCAATCGGTTATTAATCCTCATAATCCGATTAGAAGATCGATTATTTGTTATGTTATTGGATTGGACAGACAAGATGAGATGAGACAAGACAAGACGTACTTGATATTCTAAAAATAAGTCGGGTACCCCACTTTTGGACCACCCCCTATTTAAACCATCTCAAAAAAGCTTATTATAAGAAGAGATTTCTTTTATTTATTTTTTAATAACTTTATAACATTTAAATCAATTGATTTGAAATTTTGATATATCATTATTTACATTATACCTAAGATATATACCGAAATTAATATTAATTCGACTTTATATGTAATAATAAATAGGCATTCAATCCAATAAGCTACTTTGAATTATAGGATTTCAAAAATTACTTTTCAAAACTATATAAATAGTTATTTGTTTTATTAAAAAGATGTGTAATATATATAAAAGATAGCTCCAATCCAAAAAAAACGATTAGCAGATTAGATATTAGTTCAAAAATCCTTAGATATTAATTCTATATATTGCTAAATTTATAAAATTGGGAAATACCTTTTTGATATTAAGGGAAGTGATTTTATATTTGGAAAGCAATGGGTTATAGATTTTTTTCAAAGAAATTCAAAAATTAATATTAAAAGATAATTTAAGATCAATTCAATACATATTAATAATATAACTATTAATATTATTAATTAATAATTTTCAAAGCTGGATTTACCCTTAATTCATTATATTAAGCCTTGAAATCGATATAATATAGATAAAGCAGGTATACAAGAAAGTTAGGGATTAAATAGATTAGTTCTAGGAAACTTAGAATATTATTTTATTTAGAAAAAGCAGTTTGGTTTTAAAGCTTGAATATTATTTATAAAGCATATCTTAATTATAGAAAGAATTTTTGATTTCATTATTATATTGAAGGAAAAATTAGTATAATAACAATAATTTCTAATTAATTTGAATTTTTATAAAGAATAATATTTTATTGCTATAGAAAATAAATGGATTATAAATGATATTACTCTAAAATAGTTTAAAAAGATATTTATATCTCAAATAGCCTCTTCCTTATTAAATAAGTCAAAACTCTTTATTTTAGATAGATATAGAAATTATAAAATTACTGAATTTATATATAAATACTTTAAGAATAATATACACCTTTTATTCCTATTATTATATATGTTATATATTCTATAATCTCTTGATTTATTTATATTCTTATTTTTCAAAAGAATATATTATCGTAGGTCATGAGCAGGTATATGGGTATAGAGTATATATATAGAATATAAGAGGGATTAAACTAATATTAGTCTATTATGGGAAGCTGGCTCAGTTTAACAACTAAAAAGCAATGAAAACATGTGATATTTAGGAATCTGTATTATAGTATTGAATTTCTTATCCTATATTAAAAGAGAAAAAGCCTATATTATATACCTTTTCCATTCTAACCTAGCTTTCCACTTTCGTTTATCTCTCGTAGATCTCTTCCTAATCCGGCCATTCCTTTCGAAATAAAGCTCCTTTTCTTATTCTTTATTAATGGTCGTTTTCGGAATCTAATATAGTTGTTTTCGGAAACTAATAATGATCGTTTTCGGAAGCTAAATACGGTCGTTTTCGTATGGTCGCTTTCGGAAGCTTATAAGCGACGATCACGTGATTGGTCATGTGATCCTGTGAATCGCTCTTAGTATAGTATATGAATATAGAACTGTATATATATATATATATATATATATATAAAGATGTATTATTATTTTTATATAAAAACAATATATATAAATATTATCTTAATAAATTAGTTTTTTTATTAGATTCCGGAATATTTGAAAAAATTAATTTTCTTATATATTATTAGAAAACATAATTAGATAATTTAATAAAGTATAATATATTATTTAAATGGAAAACTTCAGGTTTATAATTTTTAAATCGCATTAAATCTATTATATTGAGATTGTTACTTGAAAACAATAATAAGGAAATTACAAATCAGAAATTATATTCTAATAATAATTTTATATATTAATGAAATAAGGAATTTATAATTTTAATTTTTAGAATGTTTTAAAAAGCTAGTAATTTAAGATTGTATATCTATATATTGATTTAAAGTAAAGAAATTGATTTTTATATTTGCTATTAGTTTTTTTAGAAAGATTATTAAAGGATTTGATATTAAGGATTATAAACTTTTGTAATCTGAATATTAAATAAAGTATTTGGAATATCAATTAGTATAAATCATTTTCAAAAAGAAATATAAAATAAAAACTAGTTCAAATTCGAAATTTTCTAAGATTAAAAAGATTAGAGAAATACAAATTGTAATAGGCAATTGTGAAATTGATATAGAAGATGTTAATAATGATAATAAAAGTATATCCTCAAGTATTTATTATAATACCAAATAGTTATTGAATAATTAATATTTTAATATTATATAATATAAATTTTTAAGATGGTCTAAATGGGGGGTGGCCCAAAAGTGGGGTACCCGACTTAACCTGTCTGTGTCTGTGTCTGTGTCATCTCATCTCATCTTTCTCAATTTCTTATCTCGTATACATACATACATACACACACCAACCCCATAGAATATTCTAAACTCCTTCCCACCTATCTACCTAATAACTAACCTCAGATACAGCAGATACAGATACAAACTACACGCTTTCATAATCTATTCATTAACCCATCAACCCATCACAAGCACATATAATCTCCAATCCCTTCTCCCTCCTCCCTTTTCCCTTCTCCCTCCCCCCCCCCCTTTTTTTCCTTTGAAAATAAAAACAAAAATAAGAAAACAAAAACGCAGTAACAAATAAATATAAAATACAAACCACTTATGTACAACCTGTACCGTACAAACAGAATGCTATTCTTTCGCGACCGTGAGATCTTGGACCCCGCGATCGCTGGGCCCAGATGTGCTGTGTGTTGGGGGGAGGGAGGATGGATCCTGAGATACGAGATACGAGATACGCGAGAGAGAGAGAGAGAGAGAGAGTGCGTGTACGAGGGTGCAGAATTTTTCTTTGTATCTTGGGGTTTTTTGTAGTTGGAGTGAGAATGTGATTGTTTGTTTTATGTGTTTGTTTGTTTGTTTGAGTTGGTTGAGTTGGTTGGGTTGGTTGAGTGGGTAGGTGGGTGGAAATGAATTGGGTTACTGGGGATGGAGTTTGTACGGAGTAGTGGATGGGATGGGAGTGGATGGGAATGGATGAGATTGGGTAGATAACCTTAGTCATACCTACCTATCGTAGGCGAGGAGAAATTTGGACCCCAGCTTGTTTCGGAATTGTAAAGTTGTAGAGTTGTAGGGAGAGTGAGATTCATGATTTATGTATGTCCACGGGGATACGGACTAAATCGCATTGGATTGATGCATGGATGCAGGTACGATTTGGATGTCGGTTGTGTTGTGTTGTGTCGGATGGGTTATTTTGGATGGTTTATTAGGTAGGTAGGTAGGTAGGTAGGTAGGTAGGTAGGTAGGTAGGTAGGTAGGTAGGTAGGTAGGTAGGTAGGTAGGTAGGTAGGTAGGTAGGTAGGTAGGTAGGTAGGTAGGTAGGTAGGTAGTAGGTAGTAGGTAGGTTTCTTACTTGGGTATTTGTGGATGAATTTTCAGATGAGTGAGAGGATGAGTGAGCGGATGAGTGAGCGTATACTTGGATGTGTATGTGGGGGATGAATATTGAGACATGGGGGCGAGGATGAGGATGGGAAGGAGAAGGAGATTGAGCTGCTGATAATACTCATGCTGAGATCTGAGATCTGAGAGTTAGAGTTAGAGTCAGAGTGAGAGTTAGATACCAACGCACATACGATATGGGATAGTCAAGGGAAACCGATCACAGCATATGCTTCATATATATTCACGATTAAATTTCATTATCTTTGCAACAAACAAAACTCCAAATCGGATATTCAGATATTGTAATACAGTATGTGAAACAGAGACTTCGATCTTATGGAATCGCGACGCTCTTCTTGGAAAACTTTCCTTTGGGCGTTTCTGCTGATTTCTTCTCTGCGGGCTTCTTGGGTTCTGGCTTTTTAGGCTCTGGCTTTTTCACTTCTTCTTCTTCTTCCTCTTCATCTTCTTCTTCCTCCTCCTCCTCTTCCTCGGAAGATGATTCTCTTCCGTCAGATGAAGTTATCTCTTCAATCACGTACCCATCATCATCCTCGTCGTCATCAGATTCCTCCTCGCTACTAGACTCTTCCTCCTGTACAAGTTGCTTTTTCGCTGGCTTCTGCTTTTTCCCCACTTCTTTCTTGGGAACTGGCTGTTTTGGCGTCCCGACCTTACTCTTGCTCTTCGTCGTCGTAGCATTCTTCTTGGCTTTTGGTTTTTCTTCTACCTCTTCTTCTTCTTCTTCTTCTTCCTCCTCCTCTTCTCCCTCGCTACTCGTATACTCTCCACTAGTGTATCCCTCACTATCAGTATATTCATCCGCACTATCCTCCTCGCTTTTCTCTTCACTCTCCTCACTCTCGACCTCCTGCACAATCCTCCCCCTCCCTCTACTCTCCAGCGCGTCATTTGCAACCCTCGCCATAATTCCATTCAACCAATTTTCCGTTCCTTTCCCCACCCCTCCTTTCCCAAAATTACTCCCCAACCCATTTCCATTCCCCACCACATTCTTACTCGGCTCACACGTCATTCCCAAAATCGTTCCCTTCCTCCGACTTCCCCCCTTATTCGTATTCTGAATTGGTTTCACAGTAGGTTCCTGGACTTGTACCCATCCTTTCCCCTTGCCATTTTTCTCGTAGATACTTCCATCCTCCAGGACTCTTCGTCCCTTTCCATCCCATCGTCGTGTTTCTTCAATAACGGGCTCCCCAAGACGTTGAGTACGTTTCGTACGCGTAGTACCGTCTTTATTGATGGTTGTTTTTGTTTGATATGCGCGACCCCAATCATCTCCCGATGCTGTAGAGGAGGTAAGGGCAAAAGATGCCGAGGTGTTTAATGTCAAGGGCATTTTGCGATAATCTTTCGAGGAGCTTTGCTTGTTATCTTTGTGTAAGTTTTGAGGAAGAAACTAGTAGAAAACTCAAAGGCAAGATGATTATTTGGATCTTGATATATGAAAATAAAATCGAAATCGTATGTTGGTTTTTCTCGAAATCAAAAACAGGATGACGAGGGATTTGACGTCATACTGTGAAGTCATGATCACGTGTCAGCTGCCACGTCGTTCGCGATCATGATTCAGGTTCTGTTGCCTTGATGGCTTGATTTGATATATTTGATTTGTTGTTTGAAGAACATGTGAAAGATGTAGCGATACCTTGGGTACTTATTACTCCGTACTCGACTTTATTTGAAGTAACAAACTAGTGTATTAGTAGTTACTCGGTAGTTATTAGCTACGGAAACTATCAACCGACCGTTTATTTTATCGCGTGTACACTATCTCGACTCTCGAGACTGTCCGGTACCAAACTAGGTAATCAGTAATCAGAATAGTTTTCGACGATGGATCTTGGCATGTCACAGACAACGAGTCCTGTGGGGTAGTGCGAAGAAGAGTGCCGATGGTTACTTTTTCGCGGCTGCAGGAACCAAAATAAAAAGGTACGAAGGTACGAAAGTACTACCTTGTACCGAGGGACATCAATGCTTTTTAGATCCAGCAAACACTCGGTACATTATCAGACGAGAATCGCAAAGCTCGAATCTCGAATCAATTTCCACAAGGAGGTCACTTTGAGGTGATTCTTGATGAAGTTTGTACTTGTTGTGCTTGTTGTTTCTCTGAGTTGTTTCTTGGCGCTCATTGGTCATACTCGGCATAGGGTTTCTCCTGAAAGTCTAGATACCTCCCTTCTTCTTCTTCTTTGCCGTCGGATCCGGCAATAGAAGTGATTGGGAATAGAAGGGAATAGGAGGGGAGAGAGAAGAGAGGGAAGGCAGAGAAGACGGATAAGACGGAGAAGGTAGGGCGTGCGTATTAATCTGCAGAGTGGGGGGGTTCGATGAGTCTAGACTGTAGTACTCGGTCTCTAGTCTAGAATGCGGTTCAACCATGAGAGATTATCTATCATTGAATCCATATGCTGAGCTGAATCAATCTATCTACTTGGCATACTGGATCTAATCAGACGATCGAGCTCTAGATGACAATCCGGATGCTTGAAATCCGCAATGCGATGCCTTTGAAATTACTCGAATGGGTAAACAAGGGCAGACTCCCAAGGCATTTTTCATCAAGATTATCCCAAACTCCAAGCCGGCAGTAGATTGAACGATGACCTTTCAACCCAGCGATGAGGGAATGAGTCTAGACCTTTGCAGAATTCTACAGGAACGTTGAGCTTACCACCCAGCTTCCTGCGAGGGATTAATCAACACCTATCAACGGAACGGATGGCTGCAGAGGTCTAGAACGTTCCCTCACGATACTGCGATGCTCCTTAGATCTGGAAAGTTGGGAAGAATTACATGATTGGACAATCAGCATGATAGGGCAATGCAGATGCGCTGATGAAGAGAGGAATGGGAGGAATGGGAAGAATGGGAAGAATGGGGAGAATGGGGAGAAGAGCATGATGGCTACTTGCCGATGATCTAGTAAGGTAGGAGCGTACCTAGTAGGTAGTGCATGGAAATCTGACACTAGGCTTCTTTGGGTCAACCACAATCATGTCCGTGCATACCAAGATCATCCATTTTGCTGCAGACGCTGAAACTTGAGACGCAATACCGAATTTTATCAATTGATTCAATAATTCGAATGTTCTGGCCAAACGCCCATCCCATGGTCAACGCCTTGCTGGTTTGATGATGGACTTTGGCTGGGACGAATAAGCAGCCCACCTTGCGATTTTATCTTGATGTTTGACCTTACTGTAATCTAACACACACAGATGTGTCGAATCAGATGAACACTTGATTCGATCTCTCATCGACATCAATATCGTATCTCCATGGCAAGGACTGGACGCCGAGGTGGATCGCACTGGGACCAATGGTTTGGATTGCTCTGACGTTGCCTACTAATGTTGTACAAGTGACTCTTTTTATTATTACATATTCGCGCACTTAGATGTACAGATCACGCTCTGCACGGAGGATCTACACCTACACATGAGATTGCGGGATTCGGGCTTCGTCGTACGAATCAAAATGCAGCAAATTGCGCAGCCTTGTTTATATCTCCAGTACTCGCAGATTCTGCGAATCATAGTGTAACATACACGGCAAACGCGCAACAGACCGATCCAAATTCAGAAGTACCCGGGCCGAAGAACGAGGGTTTCTTGTTTGGTCGTAATTAGTAAGGTATCCTTTCTAATCAAATTTAAAAACGCCCCGAATACCAAGGTGTGTTTTGGTGATTGGTTGCAGTTTGCTGAAACGTTCACCCATTCGTCTAGAGCCTTGCTATTCCTTGGCGCTCCATCTCAAATGCTGTATCGAGACGATGGAGCGGAGACGAAATGTAAAGGAACGATCCGTTGCCTTCCTTGCCGGCCAATGGAAAACGGTCAATTTTCTTTGACAATCTTTCATCAGTATTGAATAGAGTCAGGGTGAAGAAAATGATGTCTGTCACCAGCCAAGTCATTCATTCCGCCGACTTGCGAAATGTCTATATATCAGTAGGCATCCCCCACGCCTTTTCGTCAATATCATTGTTAAAACAATCGAGAAAAGCTACATCCAATTATCTTTATTTTGTGTTCTCTTATCCCGATACTCACTCCTGTGACTTGACTTGTATCACACTATCACACTTCTTGACTTTCAATCATCGGTCTTACTGAATCAAACTTTCTTATCACTTGACAACCATGCCTCAATCCTTGTCATCTTCTATGCAAGGCTACTATGGATCGGAGAAGTAAGTCTCGAGTTCCCCGTTTGTACAATGGATTATCATTTGGCCGAATTTTGTCTAATGATCTTCATAGAAATGTCGATGAACCCAAGTCACATGTTCCTGCTTCTATCAAGCAACAACGACTCTTACACTCACCGTCATACAACCTTCGCCAATTCGAACACGTTAACGGGGCACCTCCATTGGCTTTCCGGAAGCCAATCCCGATCGCCGAACGTATTAGTAGTGCGAAAAATGCCATCAAGGACTTTGATGGAAAGATGAATAAAGGCTAGACAGCTTTTCTCCAAGAGAATCAAATAAAGACAAGGCTGATGCAGTATCTTGTCATACGTTATTGTAATGTACAATTGCCGTCATTCAGCCTCAAATCGGTTGCTAATTATCATAGAATCCACCTGACCTTCTGACGCGTCATCGTCTCAAGACGGACAAATCATTCCACTGCTGTTCTCGAAGTTACCAGGTCCTCTTGAAGTTGAAAGAGTATCTGCTTGAGAATTATGAAGTTGGATTTCGATACTCGCTCGATTATTTATAGGATGCTAGGCAATGGGCCCGAGTAAGTGCAGTCCTCTATCGATGTTCAGATCCTCGATAGATCAGAAGAGGTATCTCTTATCGAAGCATCCAACCATCAAACTTCAAGTGAAGGAATAGCCATAGATACCCCATTTGACACCGGAATCTACGTCCCCCGAGATCTACAACTGAGGGGAGATATCTTCACAAGACGAAATGCGGGGTAACAGGGTTTCGAGTTTATCCAAACTGGACGGTTATTATATTTGCATTTTGCCACAAGTAGTACGTTGTTTATTGAACTTTATTTAGAGGTTGCGGGCCGTCAAGCTGTTTTGAACATGGAGAAAAGCTTGTTTCGTCCAATACGTGGGATTCGAGTTTGGGTTAAAGTCATCCCTGTAATAGGTCAATTTGTTCCCCACAATCGGTCAGATAGACGAGATCAATGCCAGGTCAGGGGTTCCCGACGTCTTTGAAGTACTTTAATTTTATTCCACACTACTCGTGCTGCCAGAAAGTATGCAACTCCGGCGCTATGAAAACCAGGTTAGTCCTCTTGTAGTTTACCATCTTGTGGTATGTGCATCTAGCGTCGGAGTTGCATACTTTCTGGCAGCACGAGTACCTAATTCATATCCGGTTCTCCACTATTCTTCGCATAAGCGCTCCGGATATATTAGATGTTCACCCAGTATGGAAAAATACCATGCCCCTTGGGTCATTTATCCGAAACAGGCAAATTTCGTTTTGCCATGTTTCTTCAAAGCGATCCGTAGAATGAGTTTACTTGAAAGGGCGTTTATGTGCTCCTCGAACCTTCCAGGGCAAGCGAATATATATAACCGCTCCGTTACCCCCAATTCCTTTTCTCATCACCATTCCCGAGTCAGGTAACTCGAAAATTACACTCTTTGTTATTCCTTTCGTATCATACCTTTCTATTCAAAATGCACATTTCAAATCTTATACCTCTTGCTATCTTGCCTTTAGCTTATGGTCAGCTTGACACGCTTGCCAAGGCTGCTGGTCTCAAATACTTCGGTTCCGCTACAGACAATGGCGAACTTACTGACGCTCAATATACCGCTATCTTGTCAAATAACAGTCAATTCGGACAAATCACACCTGGAAACACACAAAAATGGCAATACATAGAACCCACCCAGAACACATTCAGCTATACTCAGGGAGATGTTGTCGTTGATTTCGCGGAGAAGAATGATCAACTTCTGAGATGTCATAACTTGTGTTGGTATAACCAATTGCCATCATGGGTTACTTCAGGCAAATGGACAAATGAGACTTTGATTGCGGTCTTGAAGAATCAGTTAGTGATTCCGCGCAGCTCTCTATAGACATTGAAAGCTAATCATAACGCAGCATTAAAAATGAAGTAACTTACTACAAGGGCAAATGCTACGCCTGGGATGTCGTCAATGAGGCATTTAACGATGATGGTACCTGGCGATCATTTATCGTAAGTTTTCATCATAATTCTTGTAGCTTTCGAACAAACCTCAAGTATAGAAACTAACCCATCCAAGTTCTATGACACCATTGGTCCCGAATACATCCCCATCGCATTCGAAACCGCCGCTCTCTACGATCCAGATGTCAAGCTCTACTACAACGACTATAACATCGAGTCCTCCGGTGCCAAGGCAACTGCAGCCCTCAACCTCGTCAAATCTCTCAAAGCCCGCGGTATCAAAATCGACGGTGTCGGTCTCCAAGCCCACTTCATCGTCGGCTCTACCCCCAGCGAATCCGCGCTCGCCACCACCCTCCAATCCTTCACCGCTCTCGATGTCGAAGTCGCCTACACCGAACTCGACGTCCGCTTTAGCACTCTCCCTCCCACCACCGCCGGGCTCGCCCAACAAGGTATCGACTACGCTAACACCGTCAACGCCTGTCTCAGCGTCGACGGCTGCGTCGGTATCACCATCTGGGATTTCACAGATGCCTACTCGTGGATCCCATCGACCTTCTCCGGCCAAGGCGACGCCTGTCTCTGGTACGCTAACTATACCGTCCACCCCGCCTACAACAATGTCGTTGCTGCTCTCTCCGCCGCAGCAGGCACAGCTGCCCCTGTTACATCTACGACTGTTTCCACAGCGAAAGTAAGTATCTCCAGTGCGGTTTCTACTAGTACACCTGCGCCGGTCGTGTTGAGCGCTAGTCCTGATTCCGTTTCCGTTCCCGCTTCTGCGGTTGTATCTTCCATCTCTTCAGTTGTACAAATTGCCAGTTCTTCTGTAGCTGTTTCTTCCGCTGTTTCATCTGCTGTTTCCTCACTTCCTATTTCCTCATCCCCCATCCCCTCAAGCAGCACACTAAAAAAATGCTCAAAGACCTCTTCCACCTCCGCTCCCTCCTCCACCATCATCTCCAGCACAAAAACCACCTCCACAGCCGCAGTTTCGGGAACAGGCGCCGCGGTCGCGCTTTACGGACAGTGTGGCGGCGCGACCTGGACGGGAAGTACCGCTTGTGCGTCGGGCGCAAAGTGCACGAAGCAAAATGATTGGTATTCGCAGTGTGTTGCGGCATAGGGGTCTAAGAATGTAAGAATGTAAGAATGTAAGAATGTAAGAATGTAAGAATGGGTGGATATGTGTATAACTGTGGGAAGTAGAGATTGAATTATGGATATGTGGAAGAACCGAAAGAAAGAGGAAGTGTATATAAAAGGAGAAGGATGTATGTTCTGTGTATATAGCTTTTAGTTTGTGAGATGTATTTAGCAAGATATTGAGAGATGAGAAGGAAATAAGAAGATTGTTTTACCCTTCGATTCCTGGTTTGCATTGTGGTTTCTGAACTCCTGTAACCTTCGTGATTGGAGAATTTAACTTCATTGATGGATGTAATTTTTCCGATTGTGAGGCTTGAAATCTATTTAGCGGTTTCTTTCGGAATAAATGAAAAAACTTCACTTCGCGTATCCATGGATATAATACACGCTTGGATTTCGTTCAGTTCAGATCAATAACAGACCTTGCTGAAAGTGACGTCCAAAAAACAAATCCCGGCCCAACAATTCACCTGAAAGTAGAGTGGGAACATTTATTCAAAGCCATACGGGTATTTTAACATATAATACACAACAAAAATCCCAAGCTACGTAACTCATTTCTCAATAGCCAAAGGGGGAAATAGCCCATCCCACGCACCCTTGCCCAACGGAGCCTGCGCATCACCATACGAAGGATCGGCGCCCAGTAACGCATATTCATATGTTCGACGCTCTGGTAGCACTCCAATCATATCGAGCAATAGCGATGCTTTTTCCGGCATGTACGGCTGGAGGAGAATGCCAACGATGCGGATTGCCTCTGCGGAATGATATACGGCGCTGATGAGTCTTTCTTTCGCTTCTGGATCTTCGGATTTGGCGAGACTCCAGGGTGCTTCGTGTTGGATGAATTTATTGGTCTATTGTTTATGGTTAGTATTGCGGTTATAGAAATATGTAGATGGTGTGCTTACTTCGTAGACGGTATCCATGATAACATGCAAAGTTGCTCCTGCATTTAGCTCTTGCATTTTTTCATTGGCCTTATCGCGGACACTGTTCAGGAAATCAATCTGTCGACTAGTTGTGATATTCGGATTGCTCGAGCCTTTAGAGTGTGTGGCTTCCACGCAAGAACGAACATTCCACACTTTCGGTCTGGTTAATCGACTAACAAGATTACCTAGGCCTTGTTGCAGTCCTTTCTTGTATCTTTCAACAATATATTCATTGCCATAGTCGGAGTCTTCCTTGATTCCACCATCGTGAATAAGGTAGTATCGCATCACATCGACCCCAAATCGATCCATTGCAAAAAGTGGGTTGACGACATTTCCTATTGACTTAGACATCTTTTGATTGTCCATTGTCCAGTGGGCATGGGTCAATATTTGCTTCGGTGGTGGTAGATTCAAAGCGAGAAGAAATGCTGGCCAATATATGCAATGAAATCGAACAATATCCTTTCCAATGACTTGTACATCTGCAGGCCATCCTCCTGCAGTTTCCTTCCCTGGCGCCCATGGATAGCCTGCTTTTGTAATATAGTTGACCAGCGCATCAAGCCATACGTATATAGTTTGAGTCTCATCGTCTGGAACTCGAATGCCCCAGCTTAACCGATCATAGGGGCGGGATATTGAAAGGTCTTCTAAACCCCTAGATACTTGGTTGACAACATCCTTCATTCGAGTCATTGGGACAACAAAATCGGGATTCTTTTCATAAAACTCAAGCAGTTGGTCCTTGAAAGCAGACAATCGAAAATGGTAATTCTTCTCCGATGTCCATTCAACCTCTTTACCAGTCTCTTGAGAAGCAATAAAAGTCCTCCCAGTAAAGGGATCCAGCCTCTTCTCAATAGCCGATTCCGGATAGAAAGTTTCATCACTGACGCAATACCATCCTTCGTGTTTTGACTCGTAGATATATTCCCGTTCCCTCAGCATATACCAGATATATTCAACTGTCTCTTTGTGATCGGGATCAGTCGTGCGCACAAAATGATCGTTTGAAAGCCCTGCTCGCTGTGCCAATTCCTTAAACGTCTCAGCGCCAATATCACAAAATTCTTTGGGCAACGCTCCTGCTTGCGCAGCAGCTCGTTGGATTTTCATGCCATGTTCGTCTGTTCCTGTACATAGGATTGCCGTATCGCCCTTTAAAACCTGCCATCGTTTGAAGACGTCCGCGAGGACCATAGTATACAAGTGACCAACATGAGGTGCTGAAGATGAACCAATTAGCTCAGAATGCTGCGCTGGCGCAAAGTCATTCAGACTTACCAGCATTCACGTAGAAAATTGGTGTGGTCACATAATATGGCTTTTTCGATTTTGTATCGACAGAATAGCTGGCTTTCGGTATAGGTCTTGCCCTACATGAGCTGCAAACCCAGCCAGCCCTCAATATCGATCTGGTCCTGGACTGCAGAGAGCCGCGCAGTAGAGGATTGAGGCCATACATTTGAACAAAATGCGCTGACTTGGACTCGATTTAGCATGGTCCAAGACAAATAGTAAGATTGCGGGAAAGCGGCGCTGCGGCCGCCTTTCCGCCCCCGCATTTTCTCAAAACTATAAATTCAAATTTCACTTCGTGCGTCATTCTTCACTGAGAAAGACAAAGACGCTCTAGAGAATTGTCGAATTGTGATCTAAATAAACTTCTCTTGTTTAATATACTGTGATCTATCCTATTTTCTTGGATATTCATAATTACATACTATCTGTGCGATTTATCATGTCTATTCCTACAAAGGATATCCAAGCCGAATTGGCTACCAAAGGTAATCATTTAATTATTCTTTGATGAAACATTGTGCTAATATACTCCAGGGGCCGACATTTTTGTTGAAAGTTTCTACGAAGCTCTAAATAAGCCCAATCTTCGCTCAACAATCACGTCCTTCTACATCAAGCCTTCCGCTCTGGCACCGGCCGAAGCATCCATAACCATTAATGGAAACATCGTACCAACACCCTCCGCCTTCCAAGAGACGTTCGAGAACAAAATCGGCAAAACTTCATATGAAGCGCAAGCATATGATGCTCATGTCATAAACCCAAACTACAATATAGGCGTTGAGGAAAGTAAGCTTGGGCCGGATAAGGATGGGAGGAAAATTAGTATTGCCATTATGGTTAGCGGATCAGTGAAATATACGTCGAAGAATGGAGACGAGGGAGAAGAGCGAGGTTTTATGGAGAATTTCATCTTGGTGCCAAATGTGGAGGCTAGAAATCCAAAGGCGCCGAAGGGGATCAAAAAATGGTTGATTCAGAGTCAGATATTTAGATTGGTGCTTTGAGGTTTCGAAATCTAGAGAGTATGAAGCAAATCTGGGAAGGGAAGATTGGTTGGAGAACCCTATTATGAACGGAAGGTTAGAGGGCACTCTTTACGGGGAGCAGCATTGCTCGGCGAATCGAAGTAATGCCACCCTACGGAGCACTCATGGCCGGTCGACCCATGACCGATTCATTTCGCGGCGCCCCTCAAACGTCTCAAATTTGACATCAAATCTGGTCAGATGGCGAGACTAGAATAGTGCCAAAGATTCGGTGATGGACAGATTCATGTCCTCAGACAAGATTATGGGTCGACCTCTTGGTAAAGACGCAGGTAGCATCCTTGAGAAGAGTTGCAAATCTACAAGTTGAATCGCGTATTCGATGTTGGGAGTCTAAGGGTAACATGGAATTTATATGATAAAGTTGCTAATTACCTTGATCCATAATACTACTTTTGAATAACAGTGATATGTGAGTGCATACAGAATATCTTCGGTTCCTTCCCGAATATTCTTCGTAGGAAAATATTGAAATTTGGTTGTCTTGTGAGAGTCTATGAAGAACGTTCTTCATACTAATAAGTGTCCTAGTATCCTATTTCAGATCATGACTTTAGAGCATCCGCAAATTTATCTCAGTTTAAGCCCATCTTCAACCATTTGAGTTGCATTCCCATGTCTTCGTATTCACTTTTGGCTTCACTTTTCATCCTTTCATAAATTCTGCATTCGGCTACTATCCATCTTCAGCAATCTTCGTCCCCACAACAACCACTTCCTTCTTTTACACCTATTGATCACTTTCTCTCCAGATTCCTATCAAAACTTATGAATTCAAATATCTTCAAGCCACTTCAACTACAATTGCTTCTTGCAAATTTGTACCCATTAGCACCTATCTACTATTGAAGTCCGTCCTCCCACAATCCATCTACTTTTCAAGACTTATCTAGCTCTTCTTCGACATCCTTCGATCTCATCAACCGCCTTCAAACCCGACTTTCGATTTGACCTCACCAACAAATCGATATCGCCCTTCTCACCAAGGGTTTCCAAACCATTAAAGCACACAAATAAATTAATAAGGCTTTCTCAATATCTATAAACATGAAAATCCCATCTGGCTTGACTGACTTCGATGGGAATGCTCTTAAGGGAGAAGTCTACTTGACAAGCGGCAACTCGGGTACTCCAGGTAACCGGACGAAGCTACTTGAAGTGGACGTGAAGCAACAAGGCAGGCACTTCACTTGCCACACTCTGACCGCAGAAAACGATGCTATCGTACCGTGCTTCAACATAAGTTCAGGTGTTAAGGAGTTCGTTGACGTTAAAGTCGATGGTATCTTACGGGCTTCTCATAGCAACGAGGGTGGTACCAAAAACTTCAGCAAGAAGTTTGAATGGGTTGTTGGTCGAATCAAATCGGACAACAGATATGTCGACAGAATTTATCAGCTACAAATAGCAAAGAGGAATATTGAAAAGAGTTAGTCGTTCTTCCTAATCAATGACTTATACTGACTGTGAAACAGCACGAAACGTCAAAGGTGGCGCACCTCATTCAGTCGGCAGCATCGAAATACAAATATTCCGCAGAGATCCCAACGCTCATAAGAACCACGCAACTGGTTCTGATTCTGATGATTCCTCATCATTATCAAAAGAAGAAACTCCAGATCTCGGCAATGCAAAACGTGCACCGACGTTTGAAGACCATACCCACTGGTGGAATCTTAATCCATGTGTTGATGAAGACACTATTCCTTCTCCACCATTCGAAGTTGGCGGCGTTGGTCATAGGAAGTTTCAGGGTAACGCGAAAGGCCTCGTTGTGAAGAAATGGCCTGGTGATTATAAAGTTTGTGCTTCATTTAAATTCCTGCTCTTCTCTACCGCCGATTTCCACAAGATGGACTTCCTGGATACCCCAGAATACATCGGAACACCATGGAATGGAACAAGGGCATCGTCAAAGAACCCGACGGCAAAGGATGTTTCACGAGCATCAAAGGCTTCTTCGGTCATTGACTCCGATGATGTTGACAGTCATCATGATGATGATCTTGTTGATACTGTTGAAAATGTCGATAAGCCTGGACCTGAGACAAGGACTAAAATCGACGGGCCAACAAAGATTTCCAAAGGGAAAGAAGTTGGTAGGAAGGCGATTAGAACCAGTGTTTCTATAGAAATAGAAGTTCCTTCTCAAGCAGTCAAGTCGACGAAACCAGTGGGGAAAAAGACTAGGGTCATCGAAGATTCTCAGTCCTCAGAAACTCTCGATGAAAGCCACGCTGGAGTCAACAGAACTGTGTCAAAGCCTTCTCGTCCTTTAAAAGTATCTCAATTTATTGATCTTAGTGGTGAAGATGCTAGCGAACCTACAGATACCGCAGTCTTTGCACCAATTATCAAGATTGAAAAAGATGAGTTTGCGGGTGATCGCTTCGATCAAGGCAATGGAACTCGAACAAACCTCAAGAGAAAGCCACTTTCTATGCTCGGTGTGGAGGGAGCTCCGGCAAGCGAAGCCTGGAATGATCCTGATCGTTCTTTGTGGTACCAACGCAGAGGCTTAAGCAAAAATTTAGACGATTCTCTCACGCTCAATGTTGATAAATCCCAAGCCGAGAAAGATCTTACCTCGTCAGACAAATCCAAAATTATATCTTTGGATGACCCAGACAGCTTGAACCAGCCGTCTGTGTCGTGTATAGTCGGAGAGGCAGCCGAGAAAGAGACTGTCACTCACTTCAAGCCACTTAGTACTCAGGTGGGTGGTCCATCCTGGGAGCCGTTGACCCCGCCAGTATCGTCAAAGAAGTCAGGCTCACATTACTTTGACCATTTTGGAACCGAAAGACGTCTTTTGTTTGGAGATTCCAATGGCACAATCCCAATTGAATCAGCAGCTCGTGCTATTGTCACTGAAGATAATTATAGCGACAATGATAGCCGCGAAGCGAGTCCCTCAGTCAAACACGACCGGAGAGTTCCAGAAAACAAAGCTGAAGAATTAAGCCGACACGGCCTAGAATTCACCCTGGAAACAAAAACTTCAAATATTGAGAAACCTGGCCAGTCTTCAAACGCCAATAACATGGAACCAAATTTTGACGAGTTCATTCACACATCGCCTCGGCCTGAAGATACAGAAATGGTTAACGCCATCGAAGCCGATCCTGAAACAGAGTTGACAGCACCAAGATCGCCATCTCGCGAGGCTGATCCTCAATCTACAATCACAAACCAAGATCGAGATTCTGTAAATAAAACCGTACCTCCTCAATCTCAAGAATTGAACGACTCACAAAATGGTCAAAATGACTCCGAAAAGTCAACACAAGAAATACCTGAGAGCATTCTTGAAGATATCGCGGAAACTCAAAGGCTTCAGAGGGCCAAACGATTTCCATCAAGTGCTATTCCTGAAGTGGAAACCGAAGAAGCTTTCGAGTTTCATCGAGCTGAAGTCTCATCAGACACCGATATGACCAATTTCGACAATGACAAATTGCCTTCCGAAGCCACAAATTCTAATAGCAAACTCAATGATGCACCTTTCGACATTGGAAACCAACAAGATGGTCGACAAGACTCTCCTGCTGAAGCAGACGAGTCTACGATAACAGTCGGTACTGCCAAGCCAGCCAAACAATCAAAGGCAAGAGCCCCAACAGCTGCCAAACCCTCTGCTCCAAAGACTGCGTCTACTCCAAAGACACAGCCTACGTCGGTGTCTAAGACAACCACTGTCCAAAAGCCACCAGCTGTAAAGGTTGAGAAGTCTTCAAATGCCTCTGCTCAACCAGAACAATCTCAAGCTAAGCCAAAGAAGTCGACTTCAAAAGTCGAAAGCTCTTCGGTTGCATCAGCACAGCCTGAGCAATCTCAAGCCAAGCCAAAGAAGCCTTCTCCAAAGACCACGAAGCTTCCAAGCGCCCCAAAGAATTCAAAGGCACCAGCAACTGTTGTTCCTGAAGAGCCCGTCCCCAAACCCAAGGGCAAAAGCAGGGCTAAGGCTGGAGTAAATGATAAGCGCAAGGCTGATCAAATGACCTCCGCTGGCAGCAGTTCGGGACCAAACAAGACGAATATATCTCCCGCTTTGAAGCAAACATCTATTGTTGAAGGTGCAATTGCCATGGCAGAAGCAAGAAAGCAAGCAGCTATCGAGAAGAAACAAGCTTTAGAAGAAAAGTTAAAGGCAATTCAAGTAGCGAAGGCGGAGAGGGAGGTAAGATTGTCATGCTTCCATTTTTTGACAACTGACTGACCTATCGACAGGCTGATAGAATCAATAAAGAGGCACAAGCTTTTGAAGATGAAGTCGCTGAATTGGAGGTAAGCTTTACACTCCTCACTTCGATTAAAGTGTGCTAATCCGTAATGTAATAGAGGAAAATTGCGATGGAACAAATGGATGACGAATAAGCTTACTCGGACAGCTTAAAAGAAGTTGCCGAACTGGCGAGCCAGTGATACAAATCCAATTTCAACATCTTTTACAATAACACTATTCCGTATCTGAGAATGGCTCGTTGTCATACACCAACTCCCAGTTACACAAACTTCTTGCATTTCTCGCACATTTGCTTTGTTGTTCATTCTGCGGATCTCAAAGGAGTTCATTGTTGCGTAATCATCCCATACTCATACTACAACTCTCTTATCTAAAGACGAAACCAAGATAGCCAGATACTTTTGGCAGATTGAAGTTGTCAATCAATATTTGAAATGGATGGCTCTCTTCAACAACTTCAAGCAAATAGCAGAATATCTAGGCATACTTATGCTGTGCCGCAAGCTTACTGAGGGTGTTTTATTGCTACTCTTTACTATTTCTTTTGATCTTTATTTTATGTGGTCTGGGGCAGGCACGGCATACATGGGCGTGATTTTTGGCGGAATTTGATACCTTTCTTCTTCTTCACGTTGGCATAGGCAGTATTGGGATATCAAACAAACGATGAGAAATTAAAAACAGAAGACGAACCTGCATGATAAGAAGGTCATGAGGTCCAATGGGAGCCATCAAATAACCTGGAAAAATGTTATATATGAAAAATTTATCAATATCAATGCATGCTAAACTGAACTGAACATAAGTGACCTAGCGCCTTGCCTGATCATGATCGTAAAACCCGAAGTGCTGACTCCAACGCCCTTTTCCCCTGTCTCAAAAGACCCATAACAACTAGGTATCATGGCTTTCATGACTTCCTTGGCACCCTTAAGTTTGCCTTTACTCTCTCTAACAACTGCTCTTTGGTATCCTTGGGTTGTGGATGAAGATCTCTCTGTAGAGGACGTGGTTAATTTCGATGAGTGATATATTTGAAGGAAAGGAAGAGAAGAGCTCCAAGAGTACTAACAGCCGCTAACCATCTCCGTAGTTCCTCTCTTGACCACGTTGCTGGATCTATTGCGAGTTAATATCGGTTCATCAGCTGACAATGGGGTCATACACACCACCGGTAGGATCTTCTTCCTTTGGGAACATATCAGTCCCCCAAATGGACCAAGCTGCGGCTGCAGTTACGATGCCAGTGAAAGCTAATACTGCATTCTACGAATCTGTTAGTATCTTGCTTGCGAAGTGATTGGGGACAAACCTACTTTTGAGCTAAGAGCTCTATCTAAAGGAGTAGGCATTGTTGGTGGAGGGGGTGGCGTTGCTTGTCTGTTTGATATGGACAACGTTGTACTTTCAAAAGTCTTTCTTTCTTCAACACAACTTTTTATCAAATGTACGTAAAACAGATCAAAGTGTCGAATTTCAATTACCAAATTTTAAAGACTTTAAATAGATAATCATTCACGGAGAAGTGCTTGCCTAATGATCAGAAACCTGTCCTCCTCACAAGCCACAAACCCGTGCGACAACTAACGCCACATCAATTGGCTCTAGGAACCAAAACCCTTCCGTACAATCGTAACCGAGTTCGCTTACTAATCACCACACAATCCCGATTTTCCACATCAACAACCTCATTATCACGAAGTCCCGATTCCTGTCATCAATTCCCGATTTTCTCACCAATTTTCGACTAATCAATCCGTCAAAATGCCTCGCGAAATCACCGACATCAAATCCGTGAGTTATATCCCTTTTGATACGGGCGGTGGAATGGAGAACGGGAAAGAGTTTTAAGGACAAGTGTGGACAGAGGCTAATATTGAATCAAATAGTTCTTGGAGATTTGCAGACGCAAGGATGCTTCCTGTATGTGTTTATTCCTATTCCATCATCGCCTCGCGCAGATTCTATTCGATTTCGAATACGGGAGAGTTTTGGAGGCATTTGAAATTGGGCTGTTCGGGGAAGGATGAACCTGCGGGATAAAATGGCGCAATCTATAAAGTCACGGAAAGACTAACATAACACACAATAGCTGCCCGCATAAAGAAGAATGTCGGAAAGACCAGCGCCATCAAGATCAAGGTCAGATGCCAAAAGTACTTGTACACCCTTGTCCTTAAGGATTTGGAGAAGGCCGAGAAGTTGAAGCAAAGTCTTCCACCTAGTATGATTCCCTCACTTCTTTCACTTGAGGTCCAAAAAAATACTAACACGACCTTTAGACCTCACCATCGCCGAAACCCCAAAGAAGAACCAAAAGGGAAAGAGAATCGCATAAATGGCTGAATATTGGGATTAGATTATGGATTCAAGCAGTGGATGAGACAATACAAACATTGATTGCACAGTCAAGATATTTCGAGCATGGTCGGCATTTGCAAAATTGCAATGTGATATCTCACTTCCGTTCTATGAAAATAAACGGATTAGAGTGCGAAAATGAGAAAAGCTTTCGGAATCCAATTTTTGTGTCTGGTTGTCCAAGACAACATGTGTATAGTTGGTGAGATGTGAACTGGACACCTGCAATCATTTGCCTAGGTTTTCATTACGAATTATCCTCAAGTATCTGCGCACCACTTAAGTCAAGATGGTACTGGGCATCCTACTTGTGTATCTTCGACTTTGATTTATTCCACTATTAGCATCTATAACGGAAATATTGAGAGAGCATAGTTTCAAATACTTGTGTTTGAGATCTCCATTCGCTCAGTAACAGAAAGTTAGATCAAGGGTCATCTGGTTACTATCTGGTTGCCTCGATACAAATTCAACAGCAGATTGATGGCAAGATCGCCGATTGGGACACTCGATTCTCACATTGATTCTTTGTCTCTCGACGTTTCAAAGAACCTTTATTCGCTTTGTCAAGATATCCTTCACAAAGAATCTTAAACATAGTGACATTTTATTCTTTAGACTTTCACTAAGCCAGGTGCTCTCCCTTTCATCTGTTCGTTCTCTTTGTTCTATTCAACATATATCCATCGACAATCCCATTGTCTACGCTTTTCCCACCTATTTTCCCAAATATTTTTTGCTTGCCAATTTTTACCTTTTCTGCGCCCTCTTAATATTATATCCTTGCATTCATTCTTAGCAGTTCAAGACGCTGGCCGTCATTATTACAAGCAAAAAGTTCAAAGAGACACATAGCTCCTTTACAAATCCAATTATCAAGTCAGTAGCACATTTCCTATTCTCACATTCGACATTGGGCAGGCCCAAAGTCATTGTCCATCCATTTGAAACCAGTAAGTTATATTCCCATTATATCCCTCACAATGACAATTCACGAGTGTCATCTCAATCCCTACGCCGCTCGGCGCATACTCTGGGCCGGCGACCGCGCCCATATTCCCCTGCAGCCTCTCTGCTGCACCTACTCGCAAGCTGCAGATCTCATCGCCGACAACATAGCCAATGTTCTGCATGGCCCCACTGGCAATCCTCCCCACGATCCCTTCTACAAGATCAAAGAAAACTGGAGACGTTCCAACCTCTCTGATCTCGCGGCTGTCATCAAAACCCCCTGGTTGAAAGGTAAGAAAGAACAAGATCTTCTCGATTTATATTTTTCCTATTTCAACGCCATGATTTTTGGAGGCGCGCTCAATACCATGAGATGTACGATGAAGCTCGAAGAGCCGAATGCGGAACAGAAGGCGAGAAATGTGTTGGGTACGACGGTTGATAAGAGAGGACAAAAGACTACCACGAGACATAATGTTTGTTGTTTTATTAGTGTATTTGTAAGGTCCCCGCCTCCCCAAAATGAAAAGGAGAGTAAGATCTTGTTGGAGAATTATCTGGGGACTATGTTGCATGAAATGGTTCATGCGTTTTTTAGTATCTATGTGTGTAAATGCAATACGAGCTGTAGGAGAAAGGTTCTGGAATTCGAAGAATCGGGGATGACGGGGCATGGACTGCAATGGCAACGAGCGGCGAGGAGTATTGAGAGTTTTGCTAGACAGGGGTTGAGATTGGATGTTCGGTTAGGGAGGGAAGAAGCATTGGGATTGGAATTGGTGATTGCGGATAAGGAGATTTGGTATGTGGATTTGGAGAAGATGGGGATGGATAAGGAGGTTGTGAATCGGGAGATGGATTGGTTTGCGCATGTTTTTATGGAGGAGTTGGAGGAACGGAAGAAGATTGAAAAGGAAAGGGAAGATCAATTGGACAAATTAGAACATGAAAGAGTGGAAAGAGAAGAGGAGGAGGAACTAGCAAAGGAAGAATGGGAAAGAGAGAGACCCGAACGAGAAGCGAAGGAAAGACAATTGCTAAAGCATCATAGATCACGTATTCATGAGAGTTTGCGAGGAATGAGCAGGAGAGCGAATGGGAAGATTTTCAAGAGGATCGCGAAACCGGTCCGCAAACCGCTTGCGAAATCGACGATCCGACTAGATGGTGAAGATGCGACTGCGTCTTCAGAACCCTCTCTTCCTAATTTTTTCCTCGCGCGAAGAACGCATTTCGCGACCGAAAATCTAAAATCCAGCCCGGCTACTGATAGATATCTCAAGGGCCCGAAACCAAGACAAGCATATCCGTATATACGGAGAACGGTCAATCCTAATATTCCTAGTATAAATGGAAGATTTAAGATAGGGATGGAGGTAAGCAAACATACATACGAGAACAGAGAAAGGAAAACAAAGGAAATGGGGGGAAGTGGAATGGCTAATGTGAAGATTCTGGATCTAGAGAAATTTTGGAATCTGGATGAGTGTGCGGAGGAGGTTTACAGGGTGAGGTATTATTAGATTTTTCTTTGCTTTTCTTTTCTTTTCTTGGATTATTTTATTTCTTGGGGTAGGTTACATACATGTAGGTATATATATAAATTTTTAATTGTTCGATTTGAATTTTGGATGTACTGAGTGTGTATTGTCTTGATGTGTGGAAATGGCACGTGAGGTGGGAGTATGAAGAGAAGGAGAAGACGGTCTAATCCATCTAAATATTAAGCTGCAGTTCTTGGATGTACTACTTGGTACTCTGTTCGAGAGAAAATAACAAGTACATTCTACAATAACACTAACAGGTGAATACTGCCCCC